TTATTGTCCCATATCATGGGGACAACCCCAATACTAGAAATGGCGCGCGCTTACGGTCTCCGTCCCCGATTATGGCTCCTGACAGAAGCCATTTATCAAGGGTGAATTTTTTATGGTGCTTTTTCCAAAAGCAAATGGGATTTTGTCTTGAACAATTTCTTTTTGGGAAGCATTCTGCCCTCCATCTTCGAAGAGCTTGGAGGCCGGCATTATTTCGTCCTCCAAGCAACTCGTCACGTGTGGGGAGAAGTACTGCGTGACTACCCAAAAAAGGACTCTAAATCCAGTACCTTTCTTGTTATTGATCCTGCTGTTTGGATGATCGGACGGACTACAGGTCCCTTTTCACCGGGAGTCGACTCGTACTACAAAAGATTACATGATAAGTATAAAATAAGAAATAATAATTTGAACAAGTCATGGATATATATCCAGTTCAGAAAAGAACCTCGTCCCAAGCAGGAGCATAAGTGAAATGCTCCTGTCTCGAGCGATAAACTTCATCTAGGATTCCGCAGCAGAAAGAGGGAGCAGTCTGAGTGCTGGTGAGCGCGACTCAAAGGGTTGGACAAAATGGGACAGTATAGGCGTATAGGTTTCAAAAATCGGCAAGGTACAAACTGCTTTTGGAGCAGTTTCAGGCAAATAGCCTGACACTTGGCAACAATATAGAACTTGTCATTCTCTAACTTGACATTTCTGGCGGGAAAACGACGTACCCCGCGAAGTTGTTGCCAAATTTTGTTCACAAAATTAAGGGATGTCTAAAGAGAGTTTCTTTTTTTGAATCATGTACGCCCGGCCCACTGTGGAAGAGAATTAAGTGGCAACTCCTTCACTGCGTTCCTCTACCACGTTGTCGACTTTCCTTTAGCCTCTCCCGTTAATTGTTCTCTTCGCTGTGGCACAGGTTTTTGGTTTACATTACTTGCAAAGAATTTGGACGTTCAGTTTATTCCGGACGTTTAATTTTCGGACACTTTTCATCTCATTTCGGACAAATTTCGATCAACAATTTCTGACACTTTGCCGAAACATAGCTAACCTAAATTTACGCTTACCAAACACGTTTTAATCTGAAAGAATATCTGTGAAAATGATATAGTTTTACTGCACCCTCAAGGTTTTATAGATACACCGACGAGAAAATAAGAAAAATTCTGTTAAGCCGTTACGTATCTCAAGCCTTGTCTCAACCAGAGTTCGCTCCATAAAGGAAACTAGTGGCTTTGGAGCTATTTAAAGGTCTTATACTGCACTGTAAATATTTCACACGGTTATATTTTCCTACACTTTTTCGTCCGAAATTTTTTGCAAGTAATGTAACTTTCGCGACCCTATTTTAACAGTAAAAATAAATTTGCTAACATTAAATCGTCAGTTTACATAGCCGTCACTTACCACAGTGTTTCCGGGGGCTCCGGGATGGCCGGGTGGGCCAGGAGGTCCTGTTATCCCCGGACGACCTCTCCTGCCAGCTGGACCCTGTTGAAAGCAATGGAAGAAAACATCTTTCACTTGATGTATGACGTAGCGTGACGTTGCCACATGAATCACGTTCGCAGTAAGGATGCGCAGTAAAAATGGGTGCTGACGTCCCTGATTTGACGCCCTATGGTATAAAACCCAAGTTATCTTGACTTACCCGTGATCCTCTTGGTCCAGATCTCCCTGGCTGACCAGTAAGTCCGGAAAAACCCTGCAGCAGTTTGCATTTACAAATTCAATAAAGTCTGGAGGGCCTTAACCTAATTGTCCATTCGTGAATGAAATGGAAAATCACATTAATTACAAACCCTTTCTCCGCTGACTCCGTCCTCTCCCGGTTCCCCAATAACTGTGACGAGCTGAAAATTCAGCGAGAAAAATATATTTGGCATAGCTCCAATGGTAAAGCAGACGTGTGTTGGAAAAAAAAACAATAACAAAAAACAAACAAAATGTCTTGTCCCGGACTTGGAGTGCTTTTATTCGCAGTACAAAAGATGTCGCATTTAAAAAAACCCGGGAGGGGGTTACTTCCTTGTATGGGCTATATAGGTATTTGCGGGCCTTAAGGGTCTGGTTTTTCAGCCGTTTTGGTCAGAAGCAGGGTATCGATTTTGGCCATTTTGGTCTCAAATAGGGTATGGCTTTTGCATCCTAGTCTTAAATTCGG